AACTTGAATTTATGTATATATATTGTACTATTACCAAATGAATGATTCGTATATTCTAAATTATAGTGGATCCTCTAAATGATATGTAATATTACTTATTGACTGTTACTATGATGTTGTGCTCTATGATCGAGTGATGAGTAGATCTCATACTTTAGACCTAGAGCTTTTATTTTCTAATCTTAGGCTCACCCAAAATTCCTTATAGATTGGTCGAGTTCAGAATTTAAGGGCATTTCAATTAGCGCTTCCAAAGATCTCTTTTAAGGACTAGATCAGAGTACACAACAAGAGTAGGGGATTATATTTTGTCTTGAGAGTTTTGATTATGTATTGTTGTTGCATACATCACTTGAAATTAAATTATTTAGTCATTCGAGATTAAAATTGTATGTGAAATTCAGATCGTGACACCAACTGCCAAGTTGCCTCTGTTACCTCTAAACACAAACAATGAAAAGTCGCTACATTTTAGGAATATGTAAATTTTTTAGTTCATATATGTATCAATTAAAATAATCGAAAGGTATACAAATAAAAAATATCTAACAACCAGTATCTGCAATTCATTTCAGAAATTTGCATGTTCAATAGAACAAAAAAATATGTCAACATAGAAGAATATTAAAATAAACACTAGCAACTTAATTGATATTTAGTATTTCATCTTTTCCCCACACGCAGTGCTTGTACACAATTTTCCGTGACCATTAGATTAGCCTATGAATGTAAGAGCAAAGTTTATCTTTTTTGTTAATGTATGAGCAAAGTTGTCAATTATAGAAGGGAAAAACATGAATAAACGGTACATCCAGACGTCAGTTGTTCTTAATTGAACGAATTGAACTCTCACATTTGGTAGGGATCAATCGGGTCTTTAAAGAGTCTTGGACATTCGGTTGATATTACAAAAGTTGATGACTAATGTTAATTTTATGCAAATATTACATATTATGTGGGGAAAATTATGAAAAAAAATCTTAAATCTATTGTACGGATGCTAATTCATAGCCTAAACTTTTCAATTTGGCCAATTTAGACATAAACCTTTTGATAATTTAGGTTTTTTAGTCATTTTGGCAAATTTTAACAGAAAATCGATAACGTGAACCCTAGTCGTCTTATACGGGCGTTGATGTGGATATTTTTTGCAAATTTTAGCTGGAAATATTTTTATTTATTTTGTGTTTTTCGTTTTTTGCATCGTGGTTGGCGGCACTGGGCAAGGGCCTTGCCCAGATCACGACCGCGGGCGAGGCCTTTCTAGCTGGCAAGGGCCTCACCCAGATCTAGCAAGGGCTTTTGCGCTCTCACCGCCTCGAGGGCCTAGGTGAGGGCCGCAACCCTCACAAGCTGCCGGCAAGGGCTTGCAGGCATTGGCCAGTGACCCTTTCTGTCCACAATAAAAAAAATATATAAAAGTTAAAAAGGATGCAGACAAGCGTCATTGTAGCTTTGAGCAAGATGCCTCTAATTTTGAGTTAGGCCATGGCAAAGAAGAGAGGGAGAGAGGGAGAGAGAGATGCTGTCAAAGGTGGGGCTAAGTTGTGTAGGGCGTTGTTGGTTTTGATCGGGGAGTGGCAGCGTCCATCAGGGACAAGGATGGCGATGTTGATTGGCAGTATGGTGGGGGGAGAGAGAAAGAGAGAGAAATGACATGGTTAAACAAAAGATATTTTATGTGACAATCGTATCACGTGATATGATAAACCTATGCAAAGTAAATATTTTTAACAATTTCAACGCTTATTAGAATGACCTGGACATTGTATGGGTAATATGGATTGACCGATTGCACCACGTCTATCATGTGATCGATGCATAATATAAATTTCCTTAGTAGAGGGATAGTTTAATCTTCTAGTTAAGGATTTTTGTTTGAAAATGAACATTGCCGCATATGTCACGAACTCATAGTTGTATTTGATACAAATATAAAGTTTGATTGGATTTTGCAAATTTCCTCTAGTAGGGTTAAAATAAAGAAAAGCTCAAAAATCACTTTCACTTTGGATCCTGATATCACTTTATGTCCTCTATTTTTATGGCTATGAATCTCTGATTTAAAAATTTTATTAAATGAATGGGACATGGAAATTCCTAAGACGACGGCACATTGATTGATCACTGGAAACTTCTGGGAAACTTCCGGGATGACTCGCAAACCGCGTTCTACTTTTTGGCATGTCCTTTGAATGTGACTAGTGGACAAGAATTTCTTGAACAATTTTGTAATCCCTCGTCTCCTTTTTTTGCTAGAAGTCCTCCCTCGTCTCTTAATGCAAGATGGAGGAGACTTTGACTTGCTTTTCCCTCATCAGTCTTCTCTTTTCTCCCTCCTCTTTTCTTTAGAGTAGGTTTTATTGGCGTTTGCCTTGTGAAGAAAAGAAAAGGAAAATGCAACGAAGCAAGCAAGATGTTAGAAGACTTTGGTTTGCTTTCCCGTGTTACACGCTGTGAAGTAGATTACCTAACAACGATGATTTGGGACTTGAGTGCTTTCCAGAAAAATTAACCAATCAGGATTAATTTAAATTTGATAATTTATCGCCTCCGCTCGTGACCTTCTTTTGAAATTTTAATTTAAAATTTAAGATGAGCAAGTTGCAATTTGTAAGATTTGGCATAAAATATATCAGGCTACTCACATTTGGATCCTAATTAGTAAAATAGTTTGCATTGAGAATTTTTCAAATCAATCTATTTTGTAAATAAAAAAAGTACTGTTCGTGGCATTCTACATTCACTCCATTGCTAAATCTGATTATCTAGGCTGTTTTACAACTTAATTTCCAAAATCAAGTTGTTTTCACTGCAATCATCTTATTGTAAGCAGGATGCTAGATATATTTGGTTTGATTACGTGTAATCTTCATTAATGTGATTCGCATTTATCAAATCTTGCCTCGGAATATTGTCAGCGTCTTTTATATAGCTGTCTTTATGTTTAATGTATGGTATCACATTTCCACATTTGTTTGGGATGTAGATTTATATACAATAAGTGATCATTTGAAAAGGCAGGGCATAGTCAAGTATTGAAAATTTGTCACATCATTTTATAACTAAGTAATGATGTGAATGACTCTTTTCAATCTCTTATATTATTCTAATTGCTTTTATTTGTAACACCGGCCACGTAATACTTCAAAAAGTGTTGGTTTCATTTTGAATGGGACACTAGATATATTTGAGTTGATTTTGTGTAATCTTGGTTGATACGTTCCTCGATTTGTCAAATCTCCATATATTCGGAACATTGTCGTCGTCTTTTATATGATTATGTTTAAATTTGTGATATCATATGTCTTTCCATATTTGTTTGCCATTTAGATCCACATAAAAGATCATCATATTTGTTTGGGATCTACCTCTATATACTATAAAGTATTATTTGAAAAGGTAGGGCATAGTCAAGCATTCAAAGTTTGTCACGTTATTTTATAACTAAGGAATAATGTGAATGATTGTTTTCAGTCTCTTATACTATTTAGCTATTTTTATTGGTAACACCGGCACTTCATAAAGTGATGTTAATATTATGACACATATATGATAATTTTAATTTTAAATTTGTTATTAAATGAATGGGACCCGGAAACGATCGGGATCGGCGGAGAGAATTTGCCCGGGGAGCGAGGATCTGGGAATCTAGGTAGAGAAGGGTTTTGAGAACTCACCGACGACCCCCGATCCTCCCGAGCCGAGCGTCATGGATGAGCGAGCTGAGCGAAACGGAGTTTCCGCGGCGAGAGCTGTCGGAGATCTGATCGGAGGAGAGGAAGAGAGAGAGAGATAGAGAGAGAGGGAGGGATTGTTGCAGTTGCAGAGACGAGAGAGAGATAGAGTTAAGAGAGTACTCGATGGAAAGAGAGGAATAATAAAAGCTTTATGCCCGTCCTTAATAAAAAGGATGAAGATGGCTTCTTAAAAGCTTTAAAAAATTGATGGAGAAAGAGGAATAACAAAAAGGACGGGCAGAAAATAAAAACGAAATTGGGTACTCCAAGAGAAAAATATATATGGCCAAACAAATGAATTTTTACTATATCACATGACATAATAAAAAACGTCATAAATAATTTATCAAATTAATTTGATTAATTTATTTATTTATTTGTGAATTTGTATCAAATTAATTTGATTAAAATATTTAAGAAAATGATAATTATCATGTATATATAAAAATATAAATTTAATATATAACGTGTCCCAACGTGTCGGAATTCTTTACTTTTCGAAAAATAACGTGTCGACGTGTCTTGTCGTGTCGTGTTGTGTCGTATGTCGGTGTCGGTATCGGTGTCGGTGTCGGTGCAACATAGGTTATAAATAGATGGCTTGTTCTAAAACATATTGTTCATAGCACTCTGCATTCACTCATTTACTAAATCTGATTATCTAGGCTGTTTCACGGCTTAATTTCTAAACTCAAGTTGGTTTCATTTTGAATGGGATACTAGATATATTTGAGTTGATTTTGTGTAATCTTGGTTGATACATTCCTTGATTTGTCAAATCTCCATATATTCAGAACATTGTCATCGTCTTTTATATGATTATGTTTAAATTTGTGATATCATATGTCTTTCCATATTTGTTTGCCGTTTAGATCCATATAAAAGATCATCATATTTGTTTGGGATCTAGCTCTATATACTATAAAGTATTATTTGAAAAGGTAGGGCATAGTCAAGCATTCAAAGTTTGTCACGTTATTTTATAACTAAGGAATAATGTGAATGATTGTTTTCAGTCTCTTATACTATTTAGCTGTTTTTATTGGTAACACCGGCACTTCATAAAGTGATGTTAATATTATGACACATATATGATAATTTTAATTTTAAATTTGTTATTAAATGAATGGGACCCGGAAACTTCTAGGATCACAACCCATTGATCAATCCACGGAAACTTTTAGGAAACTTCTCGGAAACTTCTCGGATGACTCTTGGAAAGTTTTCCCCTACCCCATGACGCCAGAGATTGAGAGAGCTTATCATATTGACAGCCCTCGCTCTTATCCAAGCACACCCAATGCAAACTTCCCTGAGAGATAGAAAGGATTTGATATCTTAGGTGCTTAGAGATCCTACAATGGAGAAAGGGACGAATTCACAAGCATCATTTGGACCTTCATATGAAGTCTTTTTAAGTTTTCGCGGAGCAGACACCCGTTATGGATTCACCGATTGTCTTTACCATGGCATGGTTGACGCTGGGATCATCGTCTTTAGGGACAATGAATCGCTCCATGTTGGTAAGGAAATTGGTGGTGAACTTCTACAAGCAATTGAGAACTCCAAGATCTACGTTCCTATATTCTCTGAGAATTATGCTTCGAGTCACTGGTGCCTTCGAGAGCTTGCATATATGGTTGAGTGCACCTCGAAATCGAATGGAAACAAAGAGATTCTGCCGATTTTCTTGAACGTAGAACCTGCTGATGTCAAGCTCAAAACAAACTTGTATACCCAAGCTCTTTCAAAGCGCCAGAAGACATGGTGCACTGAAGTAGAGTCATGGGAAAAGGCTCTCATTGAGGTGGGCAAGATAAAGGGATGGAACTTGAAGAAAGATCAAGGGTAAATGTGTTAAACTGTTCAACTGCCATCTTTAGATCTCGTTTTGCTCCCTGTTCGGTTTAATTGTGGTATTGTTGATGAAAATATAGTTGATTAATCTAGTCGATTCGATATATAGTTTAAATAGCTGTTGCGCTGCTACTGCTATCGGCCACTATAGCGGCGAGAATGGAATTCTCGCCGGCAGTGGCCAATAGGGGCCGCTATCGGTGGTATCGCTGCAATAACTCCTGTCAATGACACTATTGCAGTGATAGCGCACCCTACTCATCTTAATTCTCTCTCTCCTCTCACTCTCAATCTCTGACACAGTAGCCACGAAGAGTAATAGATCTCTTAGCAGCTCCACCAAGTTGTTGGCCAGCCACTGCAGCTGCTCGTCACTCAGCCGCCGCCACTTCTCTGTTACCAGCCCAACACCAAGCTGCCTCTGAGCCATTCAACCCCCACCCTTTCTCTCTCACACTCGCTGAGCCCATATCCGGCGTCTCTGACTGGGGGCGACTCCTATTCTGGTGTCGCCAAGGCCAATGACGCCATCCCAGCGGTCGCAAGGCCACGACCCACGGGACATGGAGAATTGAGGAAATGCCGAGATGGCAGGTAGACGTGATGTCAACAGCGGCGTGGCAGTGGCAGGGACCGACAATGATGGCGACTGAAGTTTGGGAGCAGAGAGATCGGCAAATATCATAATCGTACTGGTGTCTAGATTTTCTTGCGCAATTTCCTCAATATGTGAAAGCAATTTAGTCAATTTGGGAGTAGTTTTACATCCCTAACATGGTTGTTATCTTATGGCAGCCAAGGAGATCTTATATGTTCTGTAATTCGAACGGTTTCGGTTAAGCTGAAGGTTGCATATGAAAATGTGACTGAACATTTAGTCGGAGTTGGTGATCGTGTAGAAGCTATAATCAAAATGTTGGATGTAGGATCTGATAGTGTACGATTTCTCGGAATTCACGGAATGGGCGGTGTTGGCAAAACAACTCTCGCTAAGGTCGTCTTCAACACACTATCTTCTAGCTATGACCGATGCTGTTTCCTTGCAGACGTTCGAGAATCATCAAAAGGCAATAATGGTATGGTAAATTTGCAAAAACAAATGTTATCCAAGCTCCTTGGTTCTCATTCCGTTGATCAAATTTATCACGTGAATGATGGGATCAACATGATTGACAGAGGAGTGCTTAGAAATAAAAAAGTTCTCGTTATTCTTGATGACGTGGATGAGAAACAACAGCTGAAATGTCTAGCAGAAAAAGGTAATTGGTTCGGTAGTGGTAGTAGGATTATCATAACTACTAGGGACAAAAGTGTCCTAATGATTGAGGGAACAACATGTGAAGGCCTTGTAAAAATGTCTGCAAATGTTTCGACTTATGAAGCACGTGAAATGGAATTTGATCATGCTCTTAAGCTTTTCAGTAGGCATGCATTCAGAAGAGACTCTCCACCAGATCACCACGTCTCCCTTTCAAAAGAAATTGTCTTTACTTTGGGAAAGCTTCCTTTAGCTCTTGAGATTACAGGTTCATCCCTTAACGGTAAATCTGAAGCATTATGGGATGACACATTGAAGAAGCTAAAAGAAGCTCCTCCCATGGAAGTCCAAAGAAAATTGCTAATAAGTTATGAAAGGTTAGATCGTGCACAAAGGCAAGTATTTCTAGATATAGCTTGTTTCTTTGTTAATGAGGACAAAACATACCCTTTCTACATGTGGGATGACTGTGGATACTACCCACATGATGCCCTTGAAGTCCTCTTTCTCATGTCCTTGATTAAAATCAAAGACGACAATACTTTTTGGATACATGACCAAGTGCGGGACCTCGGAAGGCAAATTGTCCGTGAAGAGAATTTCAACGATCCTTGTGAGCGTAGCAGAGTGTGGAATTTTGAGGAAGCCTTGAGCATTCTGAAGCGGAAAGAGGTAAGAAAGGGAACAACAATTTATTTTCCTATGAATTGTTGTAGACTATTCTTTAAAAAGGAAAAATTAATGGCTATTAAAGCTTGAAACTGTTTGCTTTTGACCTTCATATGGGGACTTCTTGGTGTTTCCATTGTCAGGGAAGTCGGAAAATGGAAGCACTGTCCATAGGATATCGAGGAAATGAAGACGTTATTCTAAAGCATGATGAATTTGCTAATTTACGGAATCTGAGGTTCTTTGAAGGGGATGGGGTGTTCTTTGTTGGAGACTTCAATAATCTTCTCTCGAATTTAAGATGGATTTCTTGGCAAAGTTGCCCTCCCAAGTTTGAGGCAACAAACTTTCATCCGACTAATTTAGTTGTTCTTGACCTTTCATGGAGCCATATTTCGGAGGGATGGATTGGCTGGAACCAAATCAAAGTATCGTTTGAGTCCCACTCCTTGCATACTCATATCGTTTCTTTTGTCATTTTTTTTCCTACAAGTCGTTTCTCAATATATATTTTATCAAATTATTTTGCAGGCAGCAAGTAAACTAAAAGTATTAGATCTCGGCTATTGCTCCTTTTTAAGAATACCTGATTTATCTCCGTGGGTGTCCTTGGAGAGATTGATTCTTGAAGGCTGTTACAACTTAATTGAAATCGACCCATCCATTGGTAAATTGAAGCTCCTAACTTCTTTGAACTTGAAGGGATGTCAATCTCTTCGAGAGTTGCCTGAAGAAATAGGTTGTCTACAAGCTTTGATAGAGATTGTCATGCCTAATGCGCTTCATGGACTTCCAGAGACGTTTGGTAACTTGCAGTCATTGTTGACCTTTGATGTACCAAATAGGCAAATCAACAAATTGCCATACTCGATTGGAGGGCTGGTGAAAATTAGGCGATTGAATTTATCTGGGTGTACATACATAAAGGAACTTCCAGATTCGATTGGGAAAGTACAATCATTAGTTGAGTTGGATATTTCATCGACAAGTATTGGTCACCTACCCGATTCAATTGGCAATCTAAAGCAACTGAAAGTACTAAGGATGAGAGGCATAATAGGGTTAACAAAATTGCCAAGTGCGATTGGGCTGGTGGAGAAGCTCGAAGAGTTGGATGCTCAAGAATGTTGCAACTTGACTGGCGAAATCCCCGAAGAAATTGGGAGACTGTCCCGTTTGAGGATCCTAGACTTGTCGGACACACGTATATCCGAATTACCCACCTCGGTGAGTCACCTCTCTAATCTCCAAATACTTAAGCTAGAAAAATGTTGTGAGCTGAAACAATTGCCGGAGCTTCCCCCAAGTTTGACTTGGCTGACATGGAGCCCTTTTTATTTCTCGTGTTCCACCCCGAGAATTGGTGCCCTATCTCAACAGGGAACACTTGTCACCACTCCTCCCACTAGCATCGGTACCCTATCTCAGCTTAAATCACTAGAATTGTCCTGCAATTACATGCAATTCCTCCCCCGGCTCCCGTCTAGTTTAAGAGAGTTACGACTTGAAGATCTGGAGACCACACGATCACCGGATTTTTCCAATTTGAAAAACTTGTTAATCTTGACATTCTATCAATGTTCGCTAAAACTCTCGAGTGTATTTGATGCGGAGTCGGAGGAACTCCGTGTGCAGCTCTGTAAGCTTAGAAAACTGGACTCACCGTCGCAGCCGGAAATGAAAAGATTGAGATTATTAAAGATGGATGATTGTGAGTTCCTTCCAGAAGTACTTGATCTGTCGCGCATGAAGAATCTATACGAGGTAAGTCTGAGACGTTGCCTTTCATTAGTCGAGATTCGTGGCCTTGAAGAATTGGGATCCCTTCACTCCCTATCAGTCGACGATTGCCCTTCCATGGAGAGGATGTCAGACCTATCGAAATTGAAAAAGCTACGGAAGCTCAAAGTAATAGATTGTGGCCAGCTAAAAAGCGTGCAAGGTCTAAACCACTTGGGACCTTTAAAGGAGCGGACAATCTTTGGTAATGGAGAGTTTGAGGGTGACACCTATCAGTCATCGGTTGCCTCTGCGTCCGCCGTCGTATCCAGGAGTCCAATCGGCGGCTCCGATTCATAGATCCATTGCATTCTTCAGAGTGTCGCCGCCGCCATTGCCTCTAGGAGCCCCATCGGTGCTGGTTGGAATATGGCAACACCAAGTTTCGCACCACAACTTGCAACTGGTAATTCTAAAATTGCACACCAAATGCTTGCGCAATTGCCTCTTTCCCTGTTCGAATCTGGATATGAAGTTTCGTTACGGTGGTTTGATGGGTGAAGTTTCTGGTGTTGAGCTAAATGGGAAAACTGTGCGAATGGACATCTTAGTTTTGATTTGATTTGATTTGGTGCGCAGAGGGTGGTAAAAACCCCACATTTCAAGAGAAGTTTGTGTTCATGCTCGTTGAAGGGAATAGGTAGTTGAATCTTGCGGTGTGGAACGGCAATATCCTCACTTTGGGCATGTGCGATCCGTTGAATCTATTCCTCTTTTCTTATGCATGTAGAATTATGGATAAGGTTCAAAAGCAAAATACAAAAAAAAAAGAAAATGTCAGAAGATAGAGTACATAAGATGACCTTTGTGTAAGAACAGTGGTGTGGTTTCTCTAATTCACTCATTTGCAATAATAATGCTAGGTTCTAACTTTGCTTTCAAAATTACATGCTGACTGCCAAATTATTGTTGTTGTCATCGTCATTATCATCATTAGTAGGTTTGATCACTTGACCAATTTGCTGGAAACTTGGGTGCTTCATAATAGTGGCTGCATTTTCCATGTCCATTTTAGTTAGTCATTTGTGTGTTAGGGCTTGGCATGTCATATTTGCCAACTTTTATTGTTTTATTGTCTATGGATATACTATATTTTGTTTTCAGGTGAAATATGAACTATTTGAGAATATTGGGAGTATTTATTCCTTTCAGAAGTAAAATTCTTGCACAATTTAGTTGTCCCAGTAGTGACCATTGCTGGCAATACACTAGTTCTTCTAGCTAGATTCTAATATGGTCAATTTTGCAATGGACCAAGTAGAATACTTATCTTGGTGTGAGAACAAGCCCTTGGATTTTTCCTTTTTATTTTCAAGAATATAGTTGGACACTTACTAATATTTGATCCGACAACTTTGAGATTGAAACATATTGACATGTCCAACCAATTCTGTAAGAATGACATGGACTATTTCCTGCAGCTGAAGTAATGGAGTCTTTACATATTCCCAAGGGTGTGGGACGGGTGTTGTTCAGCATCCTACATACTACCAGGTAAACTTCGGTTCCTAAGCATCCTTTTGTGGGTCATGGTAAGCTGAACTAATGTGGGATTTCCAAATTGTTGGAAATCATGTCACCCATGCATGTGCTATTGGAGCACTCATCTGAGTATTTTAGTATACTGTGGTACTAGTGAGTACTATGATTAGAAAGACAAATTAGATTTGTGCTATGTTTTGTTCTCAGATGGCTTATGTACAAAAAAGAGTTCGACACGAGCCATGTGGAATTCGTGAGAGATGGAGCAAAATGGTTGGTAGAGAACGTAGAAATTAAACTTGGTAGGATTCATCCCTTTTTATTATTCTGATGCAATCTTAGTGAGAAAGCTCTTTTTCTCTTTTCTTTTTTTCTTTTTTGTTTGTGTGTGTTTGGTGGTTTGCTTCATTTTCATCTTATCTTCACCTTTTACCAAGACTCACTGATTTATAGTGTACTTCATGATGTTTCCTAATCGTTACCCAGAAACCATGTTAGGATATATTTCTCTGTTAGGTAGCTACCTTTTCTATTACCACCAATTTTTATTTGCAGCTTCACTACAAGCAAATGTTATTTTTCTTAGGCATGGCAACAAATGCATACTTTCATCTTATTTGATTTTCTCCTTGCCGACACATGAGTCGTAGTATGGTGCTGTAATAACTGTCAACATGAACACATGACATTCGGTTGATCTCTAAAGACATGGTTGTGTAAGAAAACGCTCAAGCATATGTTGCTATCAGGCTTTTTGAGCACTACACAGGTTCAATTTTCGCTAAACCTCCCTCTTGAGAAATAGTGCAACTTGATCATCTATTTTCTTTCTTCTTCTGCAACTTGTAGATTATTACATGTCTGAGACTGAGATGCAATCTTGCATGACATAGTCTGTGCTATTCGATGCATGTATTGATTACCTGTTTGTTACCTCATATGATCATTTGATCCCATCCCATCTTATCTTCCTCGAAAGCTAGGTAAGAAATTGATTTGACGTATGACAAACTTCCCCATCAAAGTTAAGGATGACCATGTTTCATTGTTGAATTGCCATCTTAGACCTAAACTAGTGTTGGTGATTTTGTCCGGATTTCACATCGTTGCATTCTCATATGAAGTCTAGGTTCAAGAAATTGACATTGCGGTAAAGCTGCAAGAAATTATTCTTGTTGAGGGCTTGAAACTCGAAGATGTACCCATAGGAGTGTATACAGTCCATGTCTGCCTTTGAGATTACTTGGTGCAGAAGGATCACGTATAAGATGCATCCTTATCAAATAACTTCTCCGAGTTTTGTTCTTTTTGAGGGGAATTAATTAGATGACTATTTTATCTACGATCATCATTATCGTCATCACATGAGATCAACTTATCCCTGATTGGTTACCATAGAGGTGTCAATTGAAGATTCTTTTGTTGTTTTCGTGACTTTGCATGTGATAATGCCAGGTGCTAACAATATTTCTTTTTTTGTTCCAGGGGAGTAGGAGTTATCAAAAGTGCCAAGTGAGAAAGGCATTGCACGCACGTTCTCCTCAGAATTCAAATTTACTTTGACGGGACACGTTTTGCAGAGATTGTGGAACTTTAGCGATCATTTGAATATGTAATATTACTATAGGCAAAGCAAAGGCTATGGTTATGTTTACATAGATAATGTTATGCTTTCAAACTAAGACTCATTTGGATTGTTTCTCATGTTTCTTCTTTTCTGTTAATAAAGAGCTGCTGAGGATTGACTTCATTTGAACATTTACTTGATGAGGCCCGCCGAAATTGGTTATGGTGACTCATGAACAGAAGGCTTTGAGAATCTGTTTGGCTATTTGAGAGCAGTTCTCTCCGGTAGAATTGTCCATGACAAGGGCAAAAAAAAATCATTGTTTCAAGTCTTTCCTATATTTATTTGCAAATATTTTTGCACACGACAGGCGTTTCTGGCGTGGTTTTAGATTGATTTGGCATTAGGATACGCCATTCCCTAGTGTTCTCTTGGTTGAGGTCTCATGGGGGCTGAAGTTTGCTTATATCACTGTAGTTTGATTTTTTTTTTCCTTCTTTTACAGTCCGGTATCTTCTGAGTTCTTGTGAACTATTTGATTGAGCTAATAGGGGTCTAATCTGACTATGTCCAAGTTTGGCTTGGTCTTACTAGTCATTTCCAGATTCACATTACCCTTTTACTATAACGATACCCGAAGATAGTGTTGCTCAAAGTCTTATCCAGGGCTACTTTTTCTGCACCTTCAACAAGTAGCTTCTTTACATGTCCACTGTTGAAATATTGCGCCAACCTAATTTTCTCTCTTCTTTAATACTTCACTAACCGCATCTTCTTGTTTTGTTCGGAAACTTTCGTACAATCACAGGAGCACTTGGCACCCGCTGGTTATGTGAAGATACAACCGTGACTATGATTCTGTGCTAATAGAGAAAATATTTAAACAGGATGACTTTTTGTTTATATCTTCTCGATGGTCCTAATTTTGTACATCTTACTATATTATCCTGTCAAAAAATTTTATAACCATTCCAAAATAGGCGTGGCCGACAATACTCTTTGTATAACATAGGAGCAATGCATATTTTCATAGATTCCCTGTTTTTAGTTTCATATGTTTGATGTTATTTCTCAATGCAAAATCTCATTTCACTCGCTATTGTGTCACAAAGTAAATGTTATTTCAATTAAGCAATGCGTGAATTGCCTTTCGTTTCTGCAGGACCTTGCTAACTGTCTAAAAGGCTGCATGTTTCTCCCAAAAGTAAATATTGATCTCGTGGATTACAGAAACTCAACCTACAAGGAAAGATTTGCTAACTTGCAGAACCTAGTCCTTATTATGGTTAGTTTTGTATATGTTATTGATTTTGGATCTTTGTCTTTTGCAGCTTTGTGATGCTAACTCTTTTTATTTCCCTCTAGTTTGAGCAAGACACTGTGTTGATACCAAAGGAAACATCCTAGTTCGTATACTATCTAGATGAAACTTTTGATACTGTTTTGCCTACCCAGGAGGTAATTACTGCATTAACTTGAAATGCAGTTATCAGTGTCTTTATCGGTGCCATTGAATCATGGTAATTTTGGGTGATACTGATGGTCGCTGAAAAGCAGCGATAAAGTATTTATGGTGGATGAGGGTGGAATCTCCTTGTGGTTCAGAAAGCATGCATTTTGAAAGATTCCATTCTTTTGAGATTATTTCCTGTCGTCAAACCGATTCCATAATTAAGAATTTGCTTGAGGACTTGCACGCACATAAATATGTTAAAAATCAAGGGTGTAAAATATATAAAATCTCTGGTAACATTGATATTGACTTGGAATCAACTTGTTTTATTGCACTTTGCGCAGTCAACCAAGAAATGTAACAGAGAACAAGCTGAAACATTTTCTAAGCCCTAGATATGAATGATTAACCATGTTGAAAGTAATACTGAGGATTGTGAAAGCATTATCTTTACCGAGCTCTTACTCTACAATCTTAGGGTGTAGGAGGTGTATATCCATGACATGGTTTGGAATTACTTTTGGTAGTGATTTATGATTTTCATTTCATCATTGAGCATTAACTATTGACAAGTCGATAATCGAAGGAAAATTGCATTTACATGAGAAAAATGGACAAACGAGAATGGGCGAACGAACATATTGTGATATTGTGTTGTCACTATGGTGTAAGCTCGTCATAACATGCTTTTACCCTTACTCTGCTACAATTTGCATCCTTTTACGATTAGGACTGGATTGGATTGAAAAATAAAATAGAAATGTATCTAATCGATGCATTTCCTGCGGACCGAGCTTTACACCAAGGATTGGATTGGATTGGATTGAAGACCTTGGATGAAGCTGGGAAAGTCAATTCATCAATGTCTCTAGGAACCATCTCCAGATCTCTCTCGCTGACATGCAAAAATATATAGTACCTTACTTGGTGGATGATGCAGCTTTAGCAAAGAAAATGGCAACAAGAATGGCTTCTAGTAGTTGGACCCCATGGGTTCAGGGTTTGTATCGAAGAATGTTGAGGCAAAGATTGGTTAGGCTGTTTGAGGATCGGCCACTACTCCTCTTGGCAGTTACCTTTAGCTTCTGCTTAAAAATGTAAGATTATGACATACAATGTGATGAGAGATCAACTCAGGCAGAAACTGAGACGACAAATGAACTCCATATAGATTTTGATTTACATGTGACCTAAAGATAAAGCAGTTAGGACTTGATCATTTGCAAAATATGCACAATGTAACTGGGTTCTTACACCTACCGTGTGAGTTAACCATTTTCACTGTGGCATATACTCTATCAACAAATATAGGTGGACCAAATCAATGGTTGAATTTTCATTTACCTTAATGTACTATACACATAGGTAAATGACCCAACAGATGATAGGATTTATACTACACAAATAAATAAAATATATGATCTGATTAAAGATCATATTACAATTTACTTATATACATTATAAGCTATAGTATACTAAATGTCCATTTAAATTTTGCATGCATTAGCTAATTCCAATTTCTTGGTAACTCCTCTGCTTCTCCATGCAAATTTATTTTATGATTGCTGACTCTTTCTAGCATCCAATTTTCAGTTCCTAACATGATAATGTTCTTATGGTGTTTCGAAATAATCCTCCTAAATTATGTTATGTAATTTGTTAATTTGGATATGACTCAATGTAAGAGACAATAAACAAGTTAAATTTGTAATTGGAGTTTTGATATGATTTGTTAGTAACATAAGTGGCAACAAATCGAAGTCATCTACTAACTATTCGATATCAAGCTGGTGTAGTTTCGTATCTCCATCTTCCGAGTTATCAGTCAACCCATCAAATGTATGCGCGCTGAGAAACTTACACATGAAACACATGATAGTAGTCCAACAAGATAAACAAGTAGTCATGAATGAAAGTTAAATCAGCATTCAGCACCCATAAACCTTCCATGATATGATGGTATCCAGCAAAGACTGCATGAGACTACAAACTGACATCAAGTTTCCACTCGTAATTTGCATGCAAACCTCCTGGATAAGGCAAGAAACATAACGACGCATATATCACAATTCCAAGCGGGGAGATTTAAGAGAGAAATTGAAATCAAGAATTGTGAAGAATCGCCATTGGGAAACTCACAAGTACCTCACATAGATGTCGATGGTTTTGCTGTTCCATGATCTGTTATGTGCCAACTAAACTATTTCTTACCACCACCAGCCTGGAACTCTTGTTAGTTGCTGCTTTGGCAATATATTCAGGGGTTTCCTGTTGAATGGATGACAATAATATACACATTGTATAAGTGACATATACGTATCGTAAAATGAACACTAAAATGCAATTTGCCCGACAAGAAGTACCAATCTCATTCTAACATAGAGAGAAAACTTCATCCATCTAATAAAAATTTATACAAATCTCTTCCAAAATTGCAATACCATAAGACATGACCCGTTTTTTATGAAAGGAAAGCATCAACTTGCTTCTAACAATGGGCAAAAACAGCATCTACAAGTCAGGACTTGCTCAATAAATAGGGTTCCTACATCCACCATCATTTAGCTCCATGTCGGGAGGCAGACAACTCTCAACGGCTGTTTGAAGTTCCTCAAACCCAGGACCATGGTTGGCATTTTAAAGTTGCCAAGGAACCTGTGCTGGAGATTTACAGAGACTTGTGTAGAGCATGTCTTAGGCTTGAACACCAGATTGGGGGATTTAAGTGTGCATTTGCTTTCCTGTCATCCATTGCAATTATGGTTGTTAATCAGGCCGAAATTCTTAACAGATCCGTATAAGCATGCTGGTGCTTTTGTTTATCTAATTGATTTCATGAATAGGATGATGCAACACCATTAGCACATCTGTAAAGTTATATGAGACTAATCGGGCATAAGCAGCAGGGGCATGGCAACACACTACCGTTGATTTACAACACTACCACCAACAGTTTAAAAATGATCACAAAGATCTAAAAATTTGTGCATCGCTAGGGCAATCAATGGCTTATGAAGTGAGTTAAAGGGAGTACTATTCATCCATCAAAAGTTGCATCTGAAGACATCTCTTTGCTAGAGCAATGTGTGACATTACACCTTCACATACATTAAAAGAAGGTAAATTCTAGGTGCTCAGTACTCAAATATATCAAGATGACATACCTTCCTCTTAGCAGGTATAGATAGATTCTTAGCTGGCTTAAAGAAGGATTCTAATCTGTAGAAAATAAATGAGGAATCATCGGATGAAAGAAAGTGCATTTTGGAAGTCACTTTCATTTATTCACGCTTTAGTTACCGGCCTTGTGATGACTCATCCTTAGCTGCCTTAATCTTCTCTATCGTCTGCTACACATGGTAAAACAACATTGAAAACATGTATGCTCTCTCCTCCAGAGGAAAAGAAGCAACTTCCTCGAGTAGGCAACTGACCAACACATTACTGAAGATAGAAGCCATACCTTTGTCACTCTGTCAATGTTGAACCCATTCTCATTCACTAGAAACGACATTAAGCCCTTGAAAGGGAAAGAACAATCAATTAAGAAATGAGTCAAGAATTCAAAAGTGAAATGTTGCAAGTAAATCCCAACATGAAAATGGCCCACTTCGTCATTTGGAGCAGTCCATTTTATCTCAGGTTGTTCCTCCGTAGAAACTATTGGTTCCTTAAAAAGCAGTCGAGCTTCGCCATAGGGCCAATTATCGGGTATCTGATACCTATTCAAAAAACAAGCAAACATTTCCTTAAGAAGGATAACTGAACTGAATAAAGACTTCCAAGTAATGCAAAGAACCTCCGGGTCTTAAGGATAGAGAAACGAATTTTGTTCAAGTGAGAGTGAAAGAATAGACAAAGCAGAAATCATAATAGATAAAAGTATTATGGTAAATCAACACATGAAGTAGCATGGTTGATGCACTGATTGCCAGCCCAAATCTATTGGTGGCAAATGATCTTTCAGTTTCAAATTGTTGATCAAATATTTCCGCTCCAGCTGAGTTTGAGAGATAATTCTTTTAAGTGAAGGAATCAGCAGCCAAGACAATTACAGTGAGAAACTATGCTGCCTTATTTTGCTTACAAATCGGGGGACAAGATAAGAGAATAAGAAGCACCTTTGCTTGTTTATGTTCTCTAGTATGTTTTCTATGGAACCATGTTGACGGATGAGCTTAAGAGCAGTCAGCCCTCCAATACCTGATAAATTCATTCCAAAGTAAAGCCACTGAAATCATCAATCTAAAACATATGAGAGGGCAGAATGATATACGATAGCGTAAAACAGTTAACAGAGCACTGCAATAATATCACGTCTACCTCGAATGCTTTCACAATAGTCACATCCAGAGAGAATGCAAAGGTCAATGAATTGATCCATATCCAGATTCATCTCCTCCAAGATCTAAAAGTCATGAAAGTGAGAAAAAAAAAATTTAAGTAATCGCAATGAATAAACTTTCCTAAGTACCCTGGAAATTTCAAATTCCATGACTGGAACTTTTCTTGAGCTGGGATCCATAAAATGGCGAAGAAATCTAGGAGCTCCAAAAGTAAGGGAATCCATATCTTCAGAAGCAACTGCATAAACCTGAAAAACAAAAATTACATCTAAAACACCATGCGTGATAGATGAATTCTGGTTACCGCACAACAATTAAGCAATGATAGGAATTCAAAGTCAGCGAAAATTCCTTGGACAAAGATGATTTAGTAAAGAACGTACCAAATGTAAATTACTACGTAGAAGAAGACATTAGACAAGTGAAAAAGCATAAGTTCAGTGGATCCCGTAAAAACTTCTTTCGAGGAAACAAGTGACTATGCCGAAGAAGACATTAGACAAATGAACAAGCATAAGTTCAGTGAACAAGGAAATTAAATCATGGAAACAAGATGGCAATTTACATAGAGTTAAACGATTGGTTATCATGTGAAACAATGAACTATCCTAAATCAGAAGACGATCAAACAGGAAGATACTTGCCTTTCCAGCTTTGCAAAGTGCAGCACATTGTGCCTCTGCTTCTGAAGGAGCCTAACATACAAAAACTGAATTTGATATCTAAACTTTTTGTTAGAAATAAAAAAAAGAACAAACTTTTCAGACAGAATAGTAACCTCAACTAGTGGGACACCCATAAGTCTTAGTAGTCTTTTGCAATCTTCATTGTGCTGTTGTGTCACCTGCAAGGGTATCAAAGCCATGTACCACAAGTCCACACACACCCAATTAGCTACGTACATAGGTTTTTCTGGAAAACAAAGACAAAATCAAACTTCACATCGAACAGGACAAAAAGATCGCACTGTAAGGAAGTGATCCAAACAAAGACAAACCTTCACAGTTCTTTTACTGAATTTCTCTATGTCTTGCTTGTTCTGAGACTGCAGGCAATAAATACAGAGTTCACTAAGACTTTTTGTACTCTGTGCGTGAGAGAGAGAAAGAGAGAGAGAGAGAGAGAGAGAGAGAGAGAGAGAGAGATGCACATATACCGCAATGGCTAATGCCAACTCCTCAGAGGCATCTGCCCTCTTCAAAAAACTGCTCAGAGACTCATTAAAGGTAACTAAACGTATTCATAGATACTTTAAAAAAACGAGAGAATAGAAGGCTACATAATAATAAAGTACCGTTTTGCAAGCTCTTGCTTCTTCAAATCAGGAGGTTGACCATCAAATACGTAGCTGTCGTAACAACAGCAAAGCATAATTCAGAGAAAGATGAGCTTCATTCTTCTTAGCATTCTATCCCAATGAAAACAGAGGAGGTAAAGAAAAAGACTTACACTGGCTGTATCCCCGCTTCCAACAGCCTAATCGTCCGGTAAAGCATGCCTTGCAGATGACTACACGGGAAGACAAATAAAAAAGCAGCTCAATGTCAACACTTCCCAAGCACAAAGATCACATACATAAAACCGAGTCCAAACAATAACATCTGAAGCATCAAAACAGAAACTTGAGCAAAGTGGATTTTCATTTCCACGAAGTATTGCGATGCCAGTAGCAGTACCTGGTGACTTGACCAGCCTCATTGGTGAGTATCTGAGTCCCCTTCCTCCCAACCACAATCTGATCCACCAATCAAAGTCCAAAAAAAACCACCAACCACTCAAAATCCAAATCCCAACCGACACCGAAACGCGCAATCAATCACAGGCATCGATCCACAAAAAGAAAAGCACTTAACGAGGAACTGATAGATGCTCATGCTGGCATCGACGGCGATCCTCCGGCCGGAGTAGCTCTCCAGCTTTTGCTCCCTCATCGCCTTCGGGGCATTGTCCGCCAGTAGCTTCGTCAGTCCCTATCGAAATCAACGGACGATTCGATTAACAATCATATGGAAATGATCGGATTGAAGAAGAGGGAGGCGGAACTACCTTGATGCCCATTTTCGGAGAGAGATCAAATTGCAGTGGAAATTGAGGATGAAATTGAATTCTAGGGTTCGAGCTCTTCCGTCTTCCCGCCTAATTTGGAGACCGGCGCGTGTGGGTGGAGAGCGTTGGGAGTCGCGAGTGGGAACGCTGTTAATGTCCGAATTTTCACGATAACTAATAATTTAAGAGGGAGACTTGGAATCAATTCTCTTTATAGGTGCTCTTGGCCTATTTGGATTAGCAACCGTTATGACACGTCATGAAAGCACACCGTGATATGTACATATTAAATAATGGGTCGTCATCCTAGGAGTTTCCAACGTCCCATTCATTTAATAATAAATTTTAAATCGGAGATCCACAACTTTAAAAATGGAGGATATAAAGAGAAATCTGGATACATAGTGAAGGTGATTTTTGAGCTTTTCTTTATTTTAACCATATCAGAAAAGATTTAAAAGAAACAAAATGAAGGGTTTGATGTATACAAAATTTACGTAATATCGTTGGACATCCAGAATACATGAATTGTGCAAATTTCATACCGAGTCCCATTGTTAAACACAAGTTTTACCATAATTGTGATTGATTTTATCTAGTCGCGTCACTTATAATAAGTCTATACGACATTTTCACGGTAAATAAGGGTCCATCATCCTGCAATGCTAGATTGAGGAAGACTTCGGACTTCGCCAGTCTTTTCTTTTGTCCCGCTTCTTTTGAGTAGGTTTTCGTCGCGGGCTTTTCTCCCTTATCAATGAATTGGAAGCTCTTGATGTTTCAAGCAATAAAGCTCTCGGGAAGGATCCCTCCGGAAGAACAAACCCAAGTCACTTCCCTAAGCTTTCTTCAATGTGTCAAGACAACCATCTCTCGAGAGTTACTATTAGCATTTTACGTGATTTTCAATCACCTTCGAAACAACAATAATAAACGTGAAAAATATCATTATTGCGTAAACATCTCTAATACATCATATTAGTGATTGTTACAATGAATTCACATGAATTAACTATTCCGAAAAATGTGGGAGAAAAAACCTCGAAAAGGAATTGGTCTTGCATGTCACGCCCCGGACCCCACCAAGCCCGCTACATCTCGTCCATGGTCGAATTGAAGGCGACATCCCAGGACGCGTCGCCGACCCAAACGAACTATGCAAGCGGAAGCGAAATAAAACAACCCAGACAACTAATATGATGACGAAAGGATAGCGCAAAACAATAATTCCAAAACATCATAAAGTAGTCACTATTACAGAACGATAACCTGGGCTAGTAATTTCAAACCACGCTTTTCAAAAGGGGGCGGTGGTTGACAAGCTTATCTTCTCTACAAAAGGGTACTCAAAAGACAGGGTAAATTTGATCTATTCTTCAATCCCTGTAGTACTCTGGCGGCATCTCCGAATCGATCACGGTCGCGGATCTGAAAGTGGTTATATAATAACCGTGAGAACGAGTCTCAATAAGCAACACCCTAAACCCCACGTAGGCCAATGCGTATCCAGACAAGTCGTACAAGCAATCTAACCCTCAACACAGAGAATTCGCGTCATTGTACTTACCTCGCCATCAAACGCATGCTCTGCACGTTAGTTAAACGCGACAAGACAATAATACTAACTTAATAACACATCACAATCAATCAAACGCCAACCACACTGGCACTCAATCAATCCAACCAATTCAATCACACATTCAATCAGCCAGTCCAATCAGTTCAATCAATTCAATCACACTCCACTCGCATGCGTGGTCGAACAACTTTCCACGACCTCCCAGGTCCTCTCACACTGCCCGCGCCACTGCGCCTCAGGCCCAATCTCACAACCCGCGCCACTGCGCCTCAGGCTCAGCCCTTAGATCAAGCCGGGCTCGGTCCCTCGTAACCACGCCTCAGGAGATTTTTCCCCTCCAATGACCCGCGTAACCTACGCCTCAGGTCTGGTCATGCCTTTCTCGCCACACCCGCGTAACCACGCCTCAGGTTGGCAGCCCTCCGATCAATCCGGGCTTTTCTCATGCACATGCATCACCACACAATTCGTCATTCACACAAGTCGTACCAATCGAACTCAAGGCATGCTCATCACAATATTCCACCAACCCGACCTTCAAGTCGGTCACATTCAGCTATCAATTCCACTCACAAATGCCACGATAAGCCAATCATTGACCCACCAACAATAGCCACAAACATGCACCCACAATCATCCCAATTCCAATTCACAAGCTCACGATTCCGACATTCAAGCCGGCCACAATCACACGTAAATTTCCCACACACGCCACGACAATACAGATACTTAACCCACCATAATTAACTACTAATGAAGCCCCACAATTATCACAATTTAATTTAACAAAAACGCACATACGAATATTGACCATAATCCACGTTTAGCCCTTAAACCGGTACTAATCACATCCTAAAAAAAGTCTAAAAATACCCATAGTCCTAAATAAGGATTAGGAGGTCACTTACTTAAGTTTGGCTCGGAGAAAATCGGCTCGGGCCTAAAATGGCCCGGGTGAACAGTGCCAGACTAGGCACGGGCGCAGGCCAACGGGCGCGCTGGTCGGCCAACGCGGGCACGGTGGCCGAGCGGCGTGCCTGGTGCGCGGGCGTGGTGGCTGAACGGCGTGCCTGGGGCGCACGGCGACGCGCCTAGTTGGACGGGCGACGCGCCCGGGTTGGACGGGCGACGCCGCGCGGCGATGGGCAAGCCGGACGGGCAGCCGGGCGCGCGGCTAGGATGCGCGGCAACGGGCCGGCCACGGCTGGGCAAGCCCGGCACACTGGGCTGGCCGACGGGCGCTGGACCGACGACGGCGACTTGCACGGCGACGCGGCGGCGACGGGCCGAGGGGGAAATGATCACCGGGGTGGAGGTGGATGGAGAGAGAGAGAGAGAGAGAGAGAGAGAGAGAAACTCGGGTGAGGGGAGTGGGGCGAACCGCGCGGCCGGGACGACGGAGTGGCGGCGACGGCTGGGCGCTGCGGTCAGCCGCCGGGCGCGACGGGCAGCGGTGGCG